AGGTATACCGTAACCCAGATGCCCGAGGACTGCCTTTGCTCGAATCTTTTTTATTTGGGGACTTTGGCACCATGCTGAGTGGCCACCATGCTTTATTAACCATCTTTATCAGAGCTCATACAATCTGAAAATTTGGTTAAGTACTTTGTATGGGAGATCAATTCTGTCACTTCAGACCCAGGCCCTTTCCAACAAGTGGGGCATATTAAATAGTTCAAAGAAGCCGGGATGTTTCATAAATACTCTGTCAGAAATTGTGACCTCAGTTAGGTTCCCCCCACATGTATTCACAGTCTCCTTCCCCGAATGCGCCCGATCATCATCCCCTCCTTGCTCCCATCCTCACTCCCCAGGGTGAGGTCGCTTGGCACAGGGAGAGCGTTCATTCCCCCAGAACGGTCCTGCGTCGGGGCCTTCTGATGGAACAGGACCCGGAGCTAATTTCCTTGCCAAGAATAGAATCATCCAGAAAGCTCCTCCCCCTCCCCCAATCCCAAACAGGAATCGCCAGCCCAGTGAGGCTTTGCCTGCGATTGGCCCTTTAAAGGCTCCATCGGTTCATTTTTTTTTTTTTAAATTTTCAAAATGTATCATCTTAGCGATGCCAGATGCTGTGGGGAGTGAGGAATGGGGTGAGGGCTAAGTTTAGGCTGGTGGAGCTGGGGCGCTCTTCTTCTGCGGCCCATAGAACTTTCTAGGAGTTCATGGCCTCTGGCCCCAGCTCCTGGCCAGCGTGGCCTGGACAGCCAGGGCTTCTCATTGAGGGGTAACTGTATGCTAATGAGGGAATGTTGCACCACTAATGACAGTCTGTTTAAAGTTCAGCTGTTACAAAATGTTACAAAATGCAGTCTTTCCCTGACCCCTAGTGAAATTATGTACACGAGCAGGGAAAGTTTTCAGCCAGGTTCCCTTCTGGAAAAGCCCTCTGCTGGGGTAGGATAGGTCACGGAGTGTGAGTGTGAGTGTGAGTGTGTGTGTGCATTTACTGTGAGTGTGTGTGTGTGTGTGTGTGTGTGTGCATTTACTGTGAGTGTGGAGAATGAGCTTTCAAATTGCTTTCACTCTGCGAGGATATCCTGCCTTATGGGGCTGCAGTGCAAGTGGAAGCACCGTTAGCCCTCCGGGTGGAGCCTTCGCTTAGATTCACCCGTTCAGGCCTGGGCCGGCGGCTCGGGTGTGCCCGGCCTGGGGAAATGAGTTGGTGGGTTCCGTCTGCTTCTGGTGGGCCGGCGTCTGCCAGGCGCTACTGTTACACTCACACCTTTAAGGGAAATGCGGCCGGCCGAGCGAGCGTTTCAGGGCTGGCGCTGGGGAGCATGTCAGACCTGTCCTCACTGCCCCTCCCCCGGGGAGCCCTTTGGGGGTTGACTCCGTTGCTGAGCTCCAAGGGCGCTCTCCACGGGGCCGTCCGCTCTCCTAAAAGGCCCTGGTTCCACCCTGCGAGTGTCGCCGGGCGGAGCGTCCACTTGCGGCTGGACCCGAGGGGTTCTGGTGGTTTCCTCTCTTGGTGCTGGTTCAGGAATAAGCTCCAGTGAAGTAATCCTAGTCAACTAAAAACTTGAAGTTCCCTAATTCCGATTTCCTGAAGCTTCTATGTGTGTGTCTAGCAAAGATCCCTTAGACATGCAGAATGCTGGCTGCCTCCTCCTGATGAGGAGGCCTTGTCCCGTCCTCTCCTGGCCATTGGTTGTTGAAGGTGCTTCTGGCCATTGATTGTTGAAGGTGCTTCTGGCTATTGATTATTGAAGGTGCTATGAAAGGGTCACATTTAAACTTGGAAGCAGTCTGGTCTTGTTCAGCTAGCACGTTGCCCTCACAGGGATTAAGGAGAGGAACATCTATTTCCTGGAGGGATTACTGTTTAAAAACTCGTTATAAACCTGTTTTAACACTACTTATCACTTTATCAGACTTTCCCTTATTTTTTTGTTTCCTTCCTTGAGAAGAGGTCAACAGTTTAACATGTTTTTTTTTTAATTTTTTTTTTTTATTAATTTAAGAGTGTTTTTGTAAGAGTGTCTGGGTGCTTAAAGATTCTTGTTTTGATTTATGGATCCTAGTTTCTGGACTGTTGGGGGAGTTTTGCTATTTTGAATGCAGATGTTTAAAACATCTGAGTTCAGAGTGCACTGTTAGGCTGTTCTGAGATTAAATATAGTAAAACTGTTACCAGCATTCTGAGCCCTCGGCCTGTGGCTGACTTTGAGCTAATAGGTGAGCGGGTTGTGGCGGCCCCGGCCTCCGAGGGAGGGACAGGAGAGCCGAGCACACGGCAGTGGCTGGGGCTGTGGGGTGGCTGGGTGCTGCTCTCACATCTCCATCTCAGCGTTAGACTTCCTGCCTGCACGCTCCGTGGCAGGTTCAAATCCCGCCGGCCCGTCGCCCCGGCTCTGGATTTTTTTGGTTCCCTCTTGAACTCTTGAAGCACTTGCTTCGTGCTGAGGGTATAGCTTGCCTGTCTACTTTTTCTTTGATGTGTATGTTTCTTCTCACCCGCTAGGCCACTAGCTAAGATGGGGGTTTCTTAAATGTAGAGTAAGTTACTTAGGCTTCATCCTGAAGCCCTCATCGTCCTGTTTCAAACAGTTACGTTTGCCTGGCTCACCATCACAGCCCTCCCCGTGTCCCCACAGGCCCAGGGAGTGTGTGCACTTCCTTTTTCTTCTTTAAAAAAAAAATTGTTTTTTCATCCTCACCTGAGGACAGGTCTGTGGAAACATTGACCGATGGACCCCCATACGTGCCCCAACTGCGGATCAAACCTACAAACTTCCCGTCTAGGGCAGCGGTTCTCAACCTGTGGGTCGAGACCCCTTTGGGGGTCGAACGACCCTTTCACAGGGGTCGCCTAAGACCATCGGAAAACACATATATAATTACATATTGTTTTTGTGATTAATCACTATGCTTTAATTATGTTTAATTTGCAACAATGAAATTGGGGGTCACCACAACATGAGGCGCTGTATTAAAGGGTCGCGGCATTAGGAAGGTTGAGAACCACGGGTCTAGGGGGTGACACGCCAACCCCCCGAGCCACAGCAGCCGGG